CAATTATTGTTGCACTTATAAACCTAAACCATTTAAGCCATATCTTCGAAACTTCAGGGATCAAGTTCAAAACTTTAAGTTTTCTTCTTCCCCAATTCGTTATCAGATACATACACGGATATTTCTTCCTACCCTTTCGTTACAAAGACAAAAAAATCTTCGCTAGTTTCAGTCATGAAGGTCAACACCATTGATAACGAAATTTTTACTTAATCAATAGAATATCAAAAACAAAGGTATGCGAATAACTGAATCTCATCTGAACCATTCAACCACAAAACCTTCTCTTTTTCATCACAGGGTCATCAACAAAAGCTTCATTACGTTAATACAAACCATCGACTACAAAACAACTAGCAAAAGCGTAGTTAGTTCGTCTTCTAACCCATTCCATCGGTTTTCTTCTCAAGTCGAAATTGTTAATTCACAAGTCGATATCCCTATCCACAAACTGACTTTTGTTCCTAAAACTGCAATTCGACTCTAATCTCTATCAATAGACTTCCCAAAATCAACAAAGCTTCCTGTATGTAAAATTAAGTTCTTCACTTCCATGTTAAATTTCGATTTCCGATTCTTAAACTATGGCTTTTGAAATCATATTACATGCATTGACCTCAAACCAATAAACCTTCAAAATCTCACAGCGACATCCAACTCAACAACTATCGCTATCGAAATCGATTTCAACACCAATCAAAATCATTCTTTGTTCTCAAGCCTTCCTTCAAAATCAAAATCACCATTCAAACAGTAATCTTCGCATACAATCCCAAAGCGAATTTGATTCCTAACTCTTCAATCATTCAAAATTGAACCAACATGAGGAACCATTTGTTCATCCCAAATTGATGACCATCGACAACAAAATTAACAAACCTTCGAAATTTAACCCCAAAATCATCAAACAACTTCATTAAAAATCGATCCTTGTTCATCAATCGGCCGTCCTTTGACTTTTGAAAGTCAATCTAACCATCGATTCCAGTTTAGACTTAACGTCACATTGACCGACTGTTCTCAGTTCAACCCTCAAATCGATTAGCCAAAAACAAAGTATCAGGTCTTTGTTATTAATCGACTTCCAATACATCGCTGAAATCAATTGAAATTTAGTTTCAAAATCGACTTGAAGATACAAGAATTAAATAGTGATGATGAGAACGAGAAGAGAAAAGCTAAACTTTGAACATCAAGAATAAAAGGTAATAACGAATCAGATCGTGAACATTTTCGAAGAGATAACTAAGCTCAAATTAAATGTACAGTACTTGTAATGTTAATCTGGGCTCAATTTTTGTTCTATGAACAGTATTCAAACAAAAAGAACTTGGGCACAAATAGTCTCGGTGAACAGTTACAAAGTAACAACCAATTATTTTAGGCTTCGAAACCAATACACTTTGATGAACAATGACAAGGAAAATTTGATTTTCATTTTGATTTGATGAATAGTAGAAAAAATTTGAGAATTTGGATATGATTTTTGGAATTTTGATCTAAACAAAAATAATTGGATCAATCAAAGGAGTTGAAACGGATTTGATCCAATGAGGCAAATAGATCAAAAATGAAAAACAAAAAGCACGGATCAAAATCATCGACGTTTTGGAATCTATTTGAGAATTTGAGATACTTTTTTGACGAATCGAGTTCCATTTTCAACGAACGAATCAAATTTAGAAGATCTTGATTCTTTTGTTGGAACGAGAAAATCTCCAATTTGAACATTGTACCACCCACTATTCGTGATGTACAACTCGTTCTTTGTGTTCTTCATGTTCTTCATCGATCCAAGAACATCTTCATAAGAACCATCAACACTTTTGGGTTTTGACTTCAAATTCAATGCAACCGTTGGAGATTGTTGCTTTGGAAACCAAATTTTGTTTCACGGATTTCGGCTTCACAACATTTGACGATTTTTGTGAGTAAACCTGCTTGTTTTTGCGTTTAATCTTCTTCTTCTTTTTCTTTCTCACCTTTTTGCATCTTGAAGACTTGATTTGATGAACAAACCCACTTTCTACAACTTCAATTTTTTGAGTTTGAATAAAATCTTTTGAAGTTTGATACTTGTGAATTTCTTGGATCACCGGCTTCCGATAAGGAATCATTTATTCAAACAAATCACATAAAACATCATAGGTTTGAACTCCAATCGAGCAAAAAACTTTTTCATCTTGAGAATCAACTTGAACTCCTTTTTCTTGAACATCGTGAACATCCGGGTAAGAAGCAAGAATATTATCACCATATTTACATTCATCAAGACGAATTCCTTCAATTATTTCATCATTTTTCTTCTTCTTCCTTCTTTCATGAAAAGTTGTTACCAAACGATCAAGCAACATCTTATGATAATCATGATCAATAGGATAGTCACTGAACTTTCCACATTCTCATTTCTTCTTATAAATGAGTAAATTTCGTTTGAAATACCCGATTACAAAACAACTGAGAATTACTTCAAACTTGAATGACCATAGAAAACCTTCTACAAACCAATCATCACGAATTGTTTCTTCCATCATTCATCAATCAATAGGATCTTGAGTTTTTTTTAGAGAGAGAAAGTGATTTTGAATGGGTTTTCTAGAGAGAGAAAGTAAAAAATCAAGGAGATCTCTAGAGAGAGAAAGTGAATATGAACCAAATTCTAGTGAGAGCAAGTGGTACAAACAAGTATTATAGATAGAGAAAATCAAATTATGGATCAAATTAAGCAAAAAAAATTGATTTCTAAAACACAAAACACTCTCTAATCACGAAGATCAATAAGAACATGAAGAATCATCAAATCTAGATTGCCATCATGGATCAATTCTTGATTGAATCAAGAACATCGGCTCCGATACCAATTATAGTGGTGTTGATTATGATGGCATATGCGAAATTAGAAAAGATCTAGTGAATTATCATGTAAACTATGAACGCATAGAGTAAATAAATCGTGTTAAGCTCTTATTAGATCTAGAAAGAGTATACAAATGGGTCTTGTACAAATTCTCTCTCTAGTCTAACACTCCAAAATGATCATTACATAAATGAGTGTCACTCACTTCCTATTTATAGGAAAGACAAGTCATTACACAATACAAGTGGGTAAAGCACAAATACATTCAAGTGTGACTTTGCTCCCTAACAATATCTACGATCGTCTTTCTGTAAATTATGTGAAATGATCGGATCCTAACGAAACGATGTTAGGGATGGCTAGTTTGAGCTCTCATTGGAATAAGTTGAGGAAACGGCCTTTGCAGACCATAGTGGGAAAAACTGTTGAGTGGTTGCATAAGAAACAGCTTGCCAGTTCCAGTCAAGTAGTGGATGATGCTTCTACTCTAAATTCCCTTATTGCCTCAGGTAACGATTCCACTGTTGTTTCCCTGACGATTATCCATGAAACTATTAACACAAAGCATGCTAGTGGGAAACCACCCTCTTCTTTAACCTGGGTGTTTGGAAAAAGCTTTCCTCGAAGAGGAAATTAGGGCTAGATGTGTCTAGGGAAAAGAACCCTACCTTTAGAAAATGTAACGTACCGTTACAAGCTCGTGATTAACATTTCTCCTCTAAAGCGAAAAAGGACTATACGGGTTGTGGAGAATAATAAATGTTTAATGAATCTTTAACTTCGAAACCCCGGACTGAGCGTACATTTCCCGTTTTGCATGTGGTTCCAGACGAAGCAGTTAAACTTCATGTTGTTGTTGGTATGCCTCCAAAAGAAGCCTTTGTGGCCATCCCTTTTGCTACAACTGTTTTCCAACGCAAGGTATTTGGTGCTAGATGTAGAGTGTTTCGTACATCCCACACAGAGATAACAGTCACTATTGTGAATCCTCTTCCATATGATTCAACTTCCAAGGGTGTTTCGAGTGCTTCTCTTGTTGAAATGATTGATATTAATGTTTTTAAATGTGTACGGGTTCAACTAACCTTCTAGGTGTTTAAAGATGAATAGAAGTCGTGGACCAGACACACACACACAAACACACACACACACACACACACACACACACATATATATATATATAAGAGGGAAAGAGAGAGAGAGAGAGAGAGAGATTACATATTTTTAGATTGGATGAGAGTAATTTTGTTTATCATCCTCCAAGTGGAAATTTTTTATTTTGTGAATATTGATTCACCCTTTGACCCTATATAGTTGTTAGGCAGACCAAGCAAGGGTCTCGTTCCTTGCTAGGGACATAGGAAGCTCCCCATAAAGATATTATGTGTGGGTTTGTTTCTATATCAGATTCACCTTCATTATCGTCTGGGGCAGCTTTTGTTAGAGTTATTTAGGTTTGGTTTTATTGATAGTTTTAAATCAACCAACTAGTAGTTATATCTCTTAAATTTGTGTAACCTAATGCATCAAAAATTCATTTGGCATAAAGCAATAAAATCTTTTGCTTTCGTGCTCATCATAGACGTAGTCGATCACTCTGATCGCATGAACTACATAAATTGATTGTGTTCTTGTTTTTCGTTATGAATCATCGCTTTGTGTGAAATTGTTTATCGTTTGTTGAAGTGCTTAAACCCTAACACCTATATTAAGTACAACAAAGTTACAGTATCTAATGTCGATAGTTGAAATAGAGTATTTTGATTTTTGAAGTAAAACAATAATATGTTATGAAACTAAAAAGAACAAGAATGACGTTTAAGTCGACTTTATTTTAAATTCGAAGTAAAAGTTCGACATGATTTTTTTATGCAATTTAAATATATGCTATGTTTACTATTATATATTTTAACCTATTCAATGATCTAACCCTTCTAGTGGTTTAATGACGTCTAGTTGTACAATCTCGAGTTAAAAACTCGCCAATTCTGGTTCTTTCGGATACCGCCTTCCTGTACCAGTCTCATCTTCATTTCCAGTCAATTTTTTATTATTATTTTGAAGACCCAAACACACAAACACAGCTAATATATAGGGCTATGATATTGTTGTAAGTCGCACCACCAAACCCATGATCCCTTTCATGTCTTCTGCAAAATCTCATCTTCTTTCACCTATCAAGAACTTCATCCATGCTGATTTCCATGGAGTCTTTCAAAGAATGACACTGACAGACAAAGTTCTCTTCCTGGTACGTATTCTCATGCTGCATGCATGTTGCTTAAAATCTTGATTAATTCCACACAAAAGTTGATCAATCATCTGTACAGAACGTTCACGGCGTTGACAAGTCAGGCATCGGGTGGCACCGTCTGCCGGTTTTCTTGGGACTGTCGTACTTGGCTATACGCCGGCGTCTTCATGACAAGTATAGTTTACTCAACGTTGGGAAGACTCCTGTCGGTGTTCGGTTCAATGCTGCTGACTTTCCGTTCAGAACAGCCGATGGAAAGTTCACTGATCCTTTCAATGAAGGTGCCGGTGGTGAAGGAAGTTTTTTTGGCCGGAACATGCCTCCTGTTGATCAGAAAGATAAGGTACGTACATTGAGATTAGCGTCGTGTGGATATTGTTACTTGTTAGTTCTGAATTGGCTGATAGTGATTATTCTAACTGCTACATTATAAAAATGTAACAAAGATACCAAACATATTAATAAATGTTATAACCTTTTATACAATTAGTTATTATGATAATAAAATCAAGATCATCATTTACTAAACGAATTTTATGTTTTTAATCTTAAATTAACTAAATTTTTAAGATGTTTGAAGACTAAAGTTTTAATTTTTTGTATTATCATGAAATCTTTAATTTTAATCGGAAAACAAATTTATCTAGTTATTGTAAAAATTATAATAAAATAAATATAATTTTTTTAACATTTTACTTTAATAAATGAATGACAAATTCATCAAATATTATTTTATGGTTATTTTAAATTAAATTCTTTTCCACAAGTTTTTTCTATTTTAATAAATTTCACATGATACTTTAATATAATGATTATAATAAATGTATTAATAAATAAATATCAATTTCATTAATAGATTTACCTTTTTATTTTAAAAATCTCAAATTAAAGTTCATTAGTTTATTTTGTTTATTTATTTAAATTAAAAAAAAAAACGATTTTTATAAGTTATTATTTTTTTTGTTTTCTTATACATCCAAAGTTCTTAAATATTTAAATATTTATATTTATTTATTTTTTTAATTAACAAATATAATACATGATCTTACACTTAGTCTAGAAATATAATTAGAAATGCTAACAAGATGCTAGGGGAAGGTTACAACACAAGGGACATTGGATCTTCAAGGACTCTCCCAAACTAACCTTAACCCCTCTCTAGTCCTAGACTTGAGCCAATAAAAAGCAACAATTTTCACGTCTAAAACAAGCCAATTTGTTGTTAATTAAGGACAATTCAATTCATATGATTCAAAAGATACCACAAATATGTCTTGGTAATGACCCTCAGCATCATTTTTTCCTTCTTCATCCGCCTGTAAGCAGTCTCATCGCACCACTCAATTAAGGAGGTAGCAATGAGAGAAAACTCCTTCCACCAGCCATTAATCTTTGCTCTAATTTCCTTGCCCGACAAACATTATAGAAAGAAATGTTCTTATGTTTCCTCTTTACCATTACAAGTGGTACAATGATTGCATCGAATATGGACCCCTTTTCTATCTAGATTACAAATAATTAATATTAGATACATATCAAAATTGTTTAGTAGATGATAGTATTGATTTATTATCATTCTAAGAATAACTAGATAAATCTGTTTTCTAATTAAAACTAAATATTTTGTGACGATACAAACATTAAAACTTTAGCTTTCAAAGTTCAAACATCTTAAAATTTTAGTTAATTTAAGATTATATATATATATATATATATATATATATATATATATATATATATATATATATATAAAGTTTAAATGAGAACAATTATGAAAACGAGAACGCGAAAAGAAATCCGGACCACATATTTTCTTTTGCCGCAAAACCATCATGTTAACGCGATAAAGGAACTTAATATTTATATGTAAATATATAGGTAAATATATTATCACATATTACAAAATTTTCGCTTAAGCATTACAGTGTACCGGGACGACGGGACAGATAATATTTGTATATGAATAATCACTTGAAAATAAGCATATACCCACATCGGTACGCGGGGGGTTTTGCGGCAAAAAGAAACATGTGGTGGTTTATAATCGTATATGATATTAAGTTTATCCGTCGCGCTGTTAAACGAGAGGAGTTTACAGTAAAAAAAATATGTGGCCCAAATTTATTCTCGCAAAAACAAAAAGCATATCCCATAAGAGTTTTTGTAGAGACTATTGTTGTTTGATTGATAAAATAATAAAAGATTTTTAATAGTAGAGTACATTACTTATTTTTATTGGTTAGTCACCGTGCGCTAGCTAATAAGATAATTTTTTTAATTTTTTTAAATGGTTATGTTTAATAAGACAAAAAATAACTTATAAGCTAATTTTTTTTTTTTTAAAAAAAAACTACTTAAACCAAATTTTGGTAGCTTTTTAAAATTTCTCAAATATATCTTTAATCAATAATAAAACATAAATCCGTCTAATTGTTATATTATTTTATTTAATATATTTCAGCTAACTTATCAGATCGTATTTACCTAATGTTATTTTTTATCAACTGGATTATAAACCGACAGTTAACTTTTCAACTACTCTGTCAAACATAATATTAATCTCAAATGACAACTTACTTTCAGATTTTAAACCAACAGTTAATTTTTCAACTATTATATCAAACATAATATTAATCCCAAACAAACTTACTTTCAGATTTTCTGAAATAAGCATTTTAACAGCCTATTAGCAAATGTACCCTTTTATGAAATAAGCATTTGAAATGTCTATTAGCAAATGTACCATCTTTTTAAGATTGGTATTAACTATTTATTTTTCAATATTGACCGCTGAATATTGTATTATGTGATAGCATGTTACCACCTAATCTCAATATCATTTTATTTGTGGTATACCATGCTACCACTACCTAATCTCAATATCATTTTATTTGATACCCTTACTAATATTTAACTTAAAACTTTATCATGTTTAACCAACTAATCTGTTTCTTAAATATACAAAATAAAAGAATCGTCTATTTTATTGTTTTTTAAATATTAAAAGTATATATTAGATTAATATCGAATATGTCATTTGTTTAAAGATGATAAATTAAATAAGAGTTACGATGATAGATATATAATTTTAAAAAAATAAGCTTGTGAAAAAGCTTTTCTAGTTAGAGATGATATTTAAAGATATATTTTTTACAATGAAGGTCAGTAGGCATTATTTATCTGTCAAAAATAATAAGTTATAGTGATGGTTAGCCATTATAGACCGTGCTTAGTTTGTTTTTTGTATTTTTCTCTTTAAACTCTATCATTCAATAATATTGAAACATCATAAAAATACGGTTCAAAAATTTCATTTTATAATATAAATAAAAACCATAATTGTCTTTCATCATATAAAATCATAAGTTGGGTATCTCAAAAATATCATAAACAACTGTCAATATATCAAAATCATATGATAAAATATCAAAGTAAATCATCCCAGACTAAAAATTGTGGTGTGTGTCATGCAGTCATCCCGAGTTCTTCCTCTTGCTAGCGGAAGTACCTGAAACCAAAACTGAAAACTGTAAGCACGAAGCTTAGTGAGTCTTCCCAAACTACCACATATCATACACATAATCACATAATAGCATACATTGGGCCTTGCCCACTACATCGTACCCCGACCGGTATCGGACCAAAGTCTGGTATACATATAACATCTCAACAAGCATATAACATAAACATATAAGCTAGATTTTCCTCGAGCTTGCCCCAACATCGAACCGAAGCCCGAAACATATAACACATAACATATAAGCTAAACATTCATTGGGCTTACCCCTACATCGGACCAAAGTCCGGAACATATAAACAAACACATGCAAGAATCACGAAGACAACAAGCATACAAACATTCCTAGAGCTTGCTGCGACATCAGACCAAAGTCCAGAAACATATAATTTACATCGGGCTAACCCCGGCATCGGACCTAAGTTCGGCATACGCTAACATACATAAATGGACCGACATTGGTGCCTTTGACCTGTTCCTGCCGGAGGAAAACTCACCTCACAATCTGGTTGTTGAAGTCTCGTGTGAGGAATCTCTGACGACTGCTCTAACGACTCCCCGGCTATCATTATCACAATAACACTTTGTCAAAAACTGATAATCCTTCTAAAGATAAAATGATCATTTTACCCCTGGTTAAAGTCAACATTCTGGTCAAATTCAACGTTCTAGGTTGACTCAACTCGCCGAGTTGATCTATCAACTCGTCGAGTTCTATAAATCAAAGTCCTAAAATAGTGATCCAACACGTCGAGTGGTCCCTCTGACTCATCGAGTTTCCTAGCTACTCATAGTCGCGATTAAGCGAGTCAACTCATCGAGTAATCCTCAGACTCGTCGAGTTATACCATATTCAACAGCGGGATAACTCGCCTCAACTCGTCGAGTTTCTCTAATAACTCGACGAGTTCCTCTGTCTGCTTGGGCCATCTTAATGGATTAAGCCCCTACACTTCAGATCTAAGTTTCTTGTTGTAACGACCCAATTTTTCAAAGATATTTTTTTTCATTTTTGCTTAATCGAACACATTTCCATAAATTACGAAATCCAAATATATTTGTTTTCAAAACACAAATCAAATACAACTTTTATTCCAAAACATCATAATGTCCCATAAATACACCTGAGAGAGTGCACGCCGCGCCATCAAGGATTGCTCTTGCCGTTGGGCTTTGATGTACCCGATACAAATCCACAAACTGTAAGCTAACGCTTAGTGAGTTCCCCAGAGCATACCCCACACACAAGCCACATAACACGTATCATATCATCTATAAAAGCTACCTCTACCACATATCACATATCACTTTAGCTCTAAAAGTTATCTCTACCATATATCATATATCACCTTAGCTATAAAGCTATCTCTACCATTAGTCATAAAGGTTATCTCTACAGTTAGCTATAAAAGCTATCTCTACCATCATCCATAAAGGTTATCTCTACCGTTAGCTATAAAAGCTATCTCTACTATTAGCCATAAAGGTTATCTCTACCATTAGCCATAAAGGTTATCTCTACCATTAGCTGTAAAATTTATCTCTACCACATATCACTACATAAATATGACACACTCCTCTACATAGCAATTATACCAACTATCATGAAATGGGTCGGCCTTGGTGCCTTAGACCCATTTGTATGGTGAGAAGACTCACCTTTCACGAATACTAAACTGAAAAACTACAATCATATATGTCCCACGTGCTGCTCCAACTCAACTGCCTAAAAGCATCATAAGATAGACTTGTCATAAAGCCAAAATTACCCCCAAAATCAATCGTGGTCAACCTTGGTCAAAGTCAAGGTCATAAGTCAAAGTCAA